AAATAATTATATATAAGAGGATATGTTTGCGAATTAGAATGTTTCCGCTTAAAGAGCTTTGTGTTTATAAAGTGATGATACTCTAAATATTTACTATATTATTTCGCATATGTTTTTTATTTTCCTAATATGTATTGCTAAGAATGTACCATAATATTAAATTTATCTTACTTGGCAAATGATAAACGTCTCCATTAGAAAGTCGAACAACCAGCCACACTTCAGCTACACGGTGTCTTCGTCTGGTGATCTTGAGGAAGACGGAAGATCCACGCTGATCAGCACCATATATGGCGATGGAATCGGAAGATTCTTCTCTCTGTAGAATTTTTGGTGACTCTGTTGATGGAAGCTGGCTTTGCCTTATTCCAGAAACGTTTTCGGAACGGCGTCGCATGATGTGCAATAATGCCCACCATTTCTTCAAGAAGAAGTTCCAATCTGAAAAGTTGATATATATATAGATTAATATGATGGATTTGAAAAATGATAATATAAGTCACGAATTATCATATTATGCATGTCATACATAATATATCCACTTGATCGTTGAAAATTTCAAATTGAAATATGTATTTTTTGCATTCTAGCATCAGAAGCAGTGCATTTTGTTCAAATTGGTTACATTAGCATTTGTTGTTGTTAACCATTTTTTTTATTACAGAGATGTTAAGAAAAAGCTCCATAATTAAATCTTAATTTGCACACCATTACTCTGGTCTGCTCTAGTACTTCCTTTTAGTAAATCTTGTCTTACCCAATTTATTCGCCATTGTTCAACAAGTTAATCACTATGTCAGTCATATGTGTTTGACGATAAAAATTTCAAACATATATGTGTGGTTTACGCATTTTGACACTCGGTTAGAAATTGGTTAGAATTTTACCCCATGGTTGACGTAAACGATAAATTTGCATTATGTTTCGAAAGCATGGCCTATCAGGAGCAAAATCTAAAAATTTCTTGGCTTTCAAAAAAAAGTTTTAATATAGTCAGTCACATATGTCAAATAAAAAATAGTGCTTTGTCGAGAATTTTGGCAAAGAAAATTATTTCTTTGTTTATCTAATAAAGTTACCATGGTCCCTGTAAAAATTAGAACATAATTTTTAAAAATTTGTGTAGGTAGATTTCTTTTTCAACAATACAAATTCGGCTTCTCCATTGTTTGGTAGTTAGAGGTATGGGCTTCCAATCAGATAGTCCAACCCACGTTCGACGTCCGTCTCGGATAGCCGGATGTCAAGCAGAAGTGGCATCGGTTTTGACTTAAAAATATAGATAGCAGTATATTTTCAAGCAAAAACAACCCTTTCACAGCTGCATTTAAAACATTCCTAATTATTACAGAAATTATAATAATAAACTCATTAAAGTTGAGATAAGCCAACCGTTATCTTCTAATAAGCCATGTTATTGAAAAGTTATCACAACAAGGTTGTAGGACTATTAAGTTAAGATTGCTATTAATAATAATAATGAAATAAAAATGTATGACTGTAAAAACAGCTATGACTAGATCATATCGGCCCTTCTGGAGTATCTTTTAAAAGTTTTATTTAATATTAATTGTATATTTTATGTCTATGACGAATAGAAGTTCATAGAGAATGTTCAACTGTAAACAATGACTTTGACCATCTTATCAGCGATTTTGTAACAACGCGAGTTAAAAAATAGAGCAGACGTCTAGACTGGCAGTCTAAGCAATAGTTTTTTTTTCAAGACAAAAAGTTATGACAAATATGATAAGGGCATTATTGAAAGATGTACGATCATACATTTAAATGAATGCAATCATACGTTTAATTGTTATATATCTGTACATATTTTGCTCATTAATTTAGTCTAATACATTGTTTTTATACAGAGACTAGCAAACCCGACGAACTCCGTTTTGCCACCAGATGGTTTCGTGAGAAAGATGAAGATGAAAGAAATTTTTTGTTTGTTTTATATTTGAAAACGAAAAATTTTATTTTATTATACAACAGTAATGATTTTACTTCGATTACAAAAATGAAGTGTTTTTTAGTTGAACTTCTCTAAATAAATGAAAGTGAATCCGCAAATTATCCGTTTCATTGAAGTGCTTTTTGGTAAACTACATTTTTTGTTTTTTGGTCTGACGTTAACACAAATAAAGCGGATGGTTTTCCAACTTGTGAACAGGCAACGTATAACTGCCCATGTGAAAAACAATGATTTTCTAAATAATCTATTTGAAATTTATCCCGCAAACACTAAGCGATTGGCATTGCGACTTATTATTGTGAACGCAAGGCGAACTGGAAATTGCAATCGTTTGAAGTCAAACGGAAAACCAGTCGGAATCATTGGTATGTCACCAAATCGCCAGCAATTTTTGATTGAATGGTGAAACTCAGTGCGTGTACATCATATTTCTTGGCGGCAAGAATTGCTCGTTGACTTAACCAAGCATAATTCTGATAATTCTCACTAATGTCATTACTCGAATTTTTAATTACGATGCGTGAAGTTCCAGCAATTTGCATTAGGGCACGATGCCATGCACCACCAATTTGGTGGAGCTTGAGACCTTTCCAACAAATGCAAAATTGTAGAAATCGATTCGTGCATTCTGGAGTTAAATCGTCAGGAAGGAAAACCCGACTTATTTTTATATATATAGAATATAATCTATTTGAAATTATTTAAAACAATTATTGATTATTTTCATTACTCGAATATTTAATTACGATGCGTGAAGTTCCAGCAATTTGCATTAGGGCACGATGCCATGCTCAACTAATTTTCTTAGCTATAAACCCTGCGGAGCCCGAGACCTTTCCAACGAATGCAAAATTGTCGAAATCGGTTCGTGCGTTCTGGAGTTATTTCGTGAGGAAGGAAAGCCCGACTTATTTTTATATATATAGAAGATGACACAGATTCATTTTTAAAAACCAACACTAGGGTGCTCCGAATGATATGTTCTAAATGACAACTCTATATTATGTAATATTAATATATTATATTATATTAATTTTATTAATATCTTTTTAAACTTTGTAGAAATTCTTTTAGTTACTGTATAAATTTAAAAAAAAGCTGAATGATGATACACATCCCGTGTCGAAATTTATAAATAAATAGTTTTTTAATTATGTTCGACAATTGGCAACAGACATCAACATTCAAGATATGTCTCAACGTCGAACAATAAACCTAAATCTTATAAATATATATATATATATACTTGTATATATTATTGTGTACAATAATACAATAACGAATAAAACAATTATCCGTTTGACTTTGATAATTTTTCGAAGTCCAAGATTATTGCGAGAATCTGGCAGCACTACATTGGAAATTGTCCGTACAATTTAGAGTAGCAAAATGTAACAAAGAGTACACAAAAGTAGTCTTGCAATACAAAGGTAGTTACTATGATACCCATTTGATAAGCTGTAGTTAGCTATTGAAAGAGTCCTTTGTAATGAAAGTCAAATAAAGTGTTACTGTCTATTTATAATAAATCAGTGTTCAAGAAAAACCTTTTGACCTATACCTCTTCCGAAGAAAACTTATTAACCAGTATTAATATCAATTTCTACCCCATAGTTGGAAAGGTGTTGGATGAGCGGATCTACCACTTGTTCTACATATTACCTACGGTCGACGGCCTGAACCTGCATTAGAACAGAACCTACAACCCCAACCTCATTCCTATTTATGGTTAGCTGCTTTGGGATAGCAACAACTAATTCTAATTACCGACATGACCGACATATTCCATTTCCTTATAGCATTGGTGAAACAACCTACAGACCCAACCCTTAACCACCACATCAATCATTTTTCAACATATATAATGTATATAGGTCCATAGTTCAAAAAACTCGATGCAAGTACAACAAAATTTTTCACTTTTGTCAAACTATTCAGAATGAATTGAAACATCAAATAAGTAATATGCATTTTGTGGCAAAAATATAATCTTCTCCATCGAGATATTAATTATTATTAGAGTGATGTAACATTTTCTGTAATTTCATATGAAACAGATATCAGAATTAAATATACCAATTCAAAGTCCAAGAACACTTTATATTTCTTAATATTTTATCAAGAATTGCGAAAATATTAATTTCTTATAAATATAAATAAGATAAGAACAAACTGCGACCAATTTGAATACATACTCTTCTCGTAACAATATTATTCAATTTGAATGTCCGTAATAATAATTCGTACTGTTCATCAATTGTTCATATAAATATATACATTAATAATGGAATATAAAACTGATTTTTGAATATTAAAACTAGTCAAAAATACGAATTGGTTTAAAACTAGAAAAAGAAATAACTGAATGTACTATTATTAAAATACAAAATGTTAACAAGCGTAATTAACGAGAGAGTGTGGAAAACATTTTTCACGCCAAATTAATACACATTGTTCAATAATATATGTATCAATAAGAAAAATCAATAATTTAGAGTATAATTGAAGAATTCATTGCAAGTAACTAATTATGTTATAATTAATATCAATTAATTTCCGAAATCAAATTGACATTGATTTGAAAACAATAATGAATTATTGTTAGGGAAGAAAACTTTTTGCAAAATTAAAGATTGTTTTAACATAAATCCAAAATATTTGAAATTCAAGTTATCGTTTCCGCAAAAAAGTTTATTGAATAATAAATTAATTAATTTGTAAATTTTGAACCGCGATTTATCATTGACCATTTTCAATAGTTGAATGATTTGATATTGCAATCGAAAAGAAATAGCATGACCGACTTATTGAGGTTATCGTCTGATAGATTCCGGGTAGAAACACGAAATTATAATGAAAATTTAAAAAAAATACAAGTGCTAATTATGACATTTTTAGCAAAATGCGTATCATTCACGCATAGCGAGAGTATTAAAAATTATCAGTGTTCTGAGTTGCTTATCAAATAATCATGGGAATATATTTAAAAATTATACATCGATACTATTGGGTTGTTGTAATCGATGTAATTGGGTTGGTGAAAAGTAACTTCGTTTTTTATAGACTTTTTGCACGTAATTTTCGTATTATAAACAGTTACTTTAATAAATTATGCACTCGCAGTTTTGATCGAACATCTTTTATCATATTTCTGGTATTAGCATAATTCCGAAATCATAAATGTTTTGGTCGTTATTGGCAAAAGCTGATCAAAGTGCTTTTTGACAGGCTGATTTGAGGTAAAGGTTTCACCGCCTAAAAATTTTTCAGTGACTGGAGAATATGATGAATGTATCATTGGGTCCCATTCAAGCTTTATAATCTCTTGGCGATTGACCAAACTTTTGTGAGGTCTTGCGTCGTCTTGATGCAGGACTATGCCTTGTTGTGGGTTAATTCTGACCTTTTCCATTGAAGTATATCATTTAGTTCATTCAGCTAATGATATAAGGCATCCGAATTAACC